GCTTCATTTTGAATGTTTTAATGGTGTGAGAATATTTATAAAGTGATCCATTGACTTGTGACAAGCTTTATAATTAATTCAAGGCAGAGGTACAGTGGGGAGAACAAGTATTTGATACACTGCCGATTTTGCAGGTTTTCCTACTTACAAAGCATGTAGAGGTCTGTAATTTTTATCATAGGTACACTTCAACTGTGAGAGATGGAATCTAAAACAAAAATCCAGAAAATCACATTGTATGATTTTTAAGTAATTAATTTGCATTTTATTGCATGACATAAGTGTTTGATACATCAGAAAAGCAGAACTTAATATTTGGTACAGAAACCTTTGTTTGCAATTACAGAGATCATACGTTTCCTGTAGGTCTTGACCAGGTTTGCACATACTGCAGCAGGGATTTTGGCCCACTCCTCCATACAGACCTTCTCCAGATCCTTCAGGTTTCAGGGCTGTCGCTGGGCAATACGGACTTTCAGCTCACTCCAAAGATTTTCTATTGGGTTCAGGTCTGGAGACTGGCTAGGCCACTCCAGGACCTTGAGATGCTTCTTACGGAGCCACTCCTTAGTTGCCCTGGCTTTGTGTTTTCGGGTCGTTGTCATGCTGAAAGACCCAGCCACGACCCATCTTCAATGCTCTTACTGAGGGAAGGAGGATGTTGGCTAAGATCTCGCGATACATGGCCCCATCCATCCTCCCCTCAATACGGTGCAGTCGTCCTGTCCCCTTTGCAGAAAAGCATCCCCAAAGAATGATGTTTCCACCTCCATGCTTCACGGTTGGGATGGTGTTCTTGGGGTTGTACTCATCCTTCTTCTTCCTCCAAACACAGCGAGTGGAGTTTAGACCAAAAAGCTCTATTTTTGTCTCATCAGACCACATGACCTTCTCCCATTCCTCCTCCTGATCATCCAGATGGTCATTGGCAAACTTCAGACGGGCCTGGACATGCGCTGGCTTGAGAAGGGGGACCTTGCGTGCACTGCAGGATTTTAATCCATGACGGCGTAGTGTGTTACTAATGGTTTTCTTTGAGACTGTGGTCCCAGCTCTCTTCAGGTCATTGACCAGGTCCTGCCATGTAGTTCTGGGCTGATCCCTCACCTTCCTCATGATCATTGATGCCCCACGAGGTGAGATCTTGCATGGAGCCCCAGACCGAGGGTGATTGACCGTCATTTTGAACTTCTTCCATTTTCTAATAATTGCGCCAACAGTTGTTGCCTTCTCACCAAGCTGCTTGCCTATTGTCCTGTAGCCCATCCCAGCCTTGTGCAGGTCTACAATTTTATCCCTGATGTCCTTACACAGCTCTCTGGTCTTGGCCATTGTGGAGAGGTTGGAGTCTGTTTGATTGAGTGTGTGGACAGGTGTCTTTTATACAGGTAACGAGTTCAAACAGGTGCAGTTAATACAGGTAATGAGTGGAGAACAGGAGGGCTTCTTAAAGAAAAACTAACAGGTCTGTGAGAGCCGGAATTCTTACTGGTTGGTAGGTGATCAAATACTTATGTCATGCAATAAAATGCAAATGAATTACTTAAAAATCATACAATGTGATTTTCTGGATTTTTGTTTTAGATTCCGTCTCTCACAGTTGAAGTGTACCTATGATAGAAATTACAGACCTCTACATGCTTTGTAAGTAGGAAAACCTTCAAAATCGGCAGTGTATCAAATACTTGTTCTCCCCACTGTATATAGGCAGAGGTATATATATTCAGCTTCTTGTATAGCCCAACAGACTATCACACTTTACAACAAAACCTTGAAAACAAACAATGAGCTATGGCTTATTCTCTTTGGATCTTATGTTTATGAGTATTGGCCATGATATTGGTATGGTATTGGTATATGAAACCATATGGAGCGTAAGTTTTTGATTCCATATAGTTAGAATAAAATGTAGATGATTTGTAGAAAGGTGAAAGATAAGATTGTGACAACCTACATTCAGTATGGAAGTAGTGGTTGTGCTGTCAACTGTCACATTTTGTCAATTTAATGTTTACATTAACCAGCCAATAAACATAAACATCACTCATGAATGCTTATAACGAATAGGACATTTCCCTCTTCGTCATACAAACACAGAGATATAGACACTTTCACTTTTACATAGAGATATAGACACTTTCACTTTTACACAGAGTTATAGACACTTTCACTTTTACATAATGTTTTTTTTAAACAGCATGTAAAACACAACATGTGACATGGAGCTTAAGACCAACCCTGCTGAGTTGACTGAGATGTAAAACTGGATGCAGGTTTAATAAATGATCTATTCTTGTGTCTTTATGGGTGTCAAGAAGTGGCTGTTTGTAATCAATAAGGCAAACACTTGCCTTGAAATTGGCAGGTCAACATGGGTGAAATATGTGTATTGGTATCTATTTTTATTCAAGGGAATGGTTTGATTTTCACAGTCCAAAGATTGGACATATTTAAATGGACAATTAGCTGCAGCCCTGCACTCGTTATTTTATTTTATTTGACCATTTAAAACACATACAAATGTTACACCAGGCAACAGATAGATATACCAAAAATGTCAAGGATAATATACACCAAAAAGTCAAAAGACTTGTTTCCATTGTGGTCAACTTCAAGATGGATCTTCCAGATAGATCTGGACTCTCAACATGGGTCACTCACACCAAGATGTCCAATGCTCACCCAGTACTCAGTGTAAGGTCTGTGTGATCAAAGTAGAGCTACATCTGATTACTGGGTCAGTAATGACGTTATAAGCTGCATGTGCCCAAACAGAACACCTCAATAGGTATATGGACCGTTATACCAACTGTATTCTTGTTTAATAAAATACACCTTCGACTAAGTATAGGGTTGGTTCATTATTTCTTGGAATAAAAAATGTGACTTTTGTTCTACTTATTCATCATCATGCCATACATGATAATCAGGGATTATATTAACAATAAAAGGTGTCTGGTATAAAAGTTAATAAAGCTGTCTCAATGTAGCCTGTAGCTGTATTTTTCAGTTGGCTGTTCAGTATTGTACAAGTGGTAGGCCTACACAATGTCTAAATATGTATAATATATGGCTCTGGGTTTTTTTGGATGGAATGAGGATGGTTGGATTTATCATAAGTGCATCTCAATAATCTATAGAAGCTTCCTCTCTTTGTATCTTTGCTCTCATCTGCACTGATTGATTTGACGCCTAAATGCAGCGTTTCCCAAACTCACAGTGGTGTAAATATTTAAGTAAAAATACTTTCAAGTACTACTTAAGTCGTTTTTTGGGGTATCTATACCACAGGAGGTTGGTGGCACCTTAATTGGGAAGGACGGGCTCATGGTAATGACTGGAGCAGAATCAGTGGAATGGTATCAAATACATCAAACACATGGTTTCCATGTGTTTGATGCCATTCCATTTACTCAATTCCAGCCATTTTAATGAGCCATCCTCCCCTCAGCAGCCTCCACTGATCTATACTATTTATATTTTTGACAACTTTTCCTTTTACTTCACTACATTCCTAAAGAAAATTATGTACTTTTTACTCCATTATTTTCCCTGACACCCAAAAGTACTCGTTACATTTTGAATGCGAACATTTTGAATTTGAAAATTGTCTAATTCCCACACTTATCAAGAGAACATTCCTGGTCATCCCTACCATCTGGCGGACTCACTAAACACAAATGCTTCATTTGTAATGATGTCTGAGTGTTGCAGGGTGCCCCTGGCTACTGATAAATAAATGTTAAAAACAAGAAAATTGTGCCGTTTTGTTTGCTTAATAGAAGTAATTCTAAATTATTTATACTTTTGATACTTAAGTATATTAGCAATTACATTTACTTTTGACACTTAGGTATATTTAAAAACAAACACTTTTAGACTTTTACTCAAGTAGTATTTTACTGGGTGACTTTTACTTGAGCCATTTTCTATTAAGGTATCTTTACTTTTACTCAAGTCTGACAATTGGGTACTTTTCCCACCAACGCAAACTCGGTCCTCGGGACCCCAAGTGGTGCACGTTTTGTTTTTTGCCCTAACACTACACAGCTGATTCATAGTATGATGATTAGTTGATTATTTGAATCAGCTGTGTAGTGCTAGGGCAAAAACCAAAACGTACACCACCGGAGGACTGAGTTTGGGAAACCCTGCCTAAAAGGCACTGGGCTTGTCCAGTTATTTCAGATCAGTGCAGAGTTTATTATACTTTTATTTTAGAAGGGAGCCCCATTGAGACCAATGTCTCTTTTGCAAGGGAGCTCTGCATGGTGTCTGCCATGCCAGTGTGATGAAGGGACAGAGATGAGAAGAGGAATCTACTTAGCTGCAACCTTAACCTAAACAATGTCCTCTGCTCTACTTCCCCTTATAACTTTTCCATCCTTTCACACCATGGATAAATTCATAACGAAAACAAAAAAGTTTTCAAACATACCTGTGAAATAGGCCTATTCTAACTCAAAGAGTAGTTTTCACCTGTCCAGTACTTGGAGTCCATGAACACAATAAGGGTAGTAGGACATATGAGGCACTAGGGATCGAAATGGTACTGTCTCGCTCTGCCTATCCTTTCTTTGGATTGGTGGATACATCTAATTATTTCAATACTTTTTTGAATATTCGATGAGGGCTGTTGACGTCCACCGCCTGTATTCAATGGAGAGATACTATACTACAGCCTCATATCATGAATATGCATAGTCATCTCGAGACAACTCCGATATAAAGTGTTTTTTCTCAAAGTTGCCGGGATGTGTGCTACTTATATCAGTACACTCGTAACAACCTAAGCATTATGAAACTCCTATTCGATCAAATAAACCTCACATAGCAAATAAGCCATTACATTTTTTGTTAACCAAATTAGACACTCATTCATTGTCCTCTATACAAAAACTCATCGCTTGGAGAGCCAAAGAAATTAAACGCCACCTGCTGGAGAAGACGGATTTTTGACAGAGTTGGGCCTCTCGCTTCGCCTCTTCCTCTGTGTACTAGGCCAGTTTTCTGCTGCGTCACGTGTTATTTCGGATGGGCTGTGGAATCAAATCCGGGTTGAAACGAAGTGACTTGAGAAAAAATGGCCGAGAAGAAGAAAGGTGAGAAACAAGCTAGCAACAAATATTTGAAATATAATAAATAATTTAAATAGATTGATCTAGGTAACTATCCACAAAATTGAGTCTTTAATCTGATTGAAAATATAAAAATACTGTCACGCAAACTGCGTGCGTTTGCCTTTCTTTACGTTAATGCACTTGAACACTGTCCTTCAGAAAGTTAACTAGCATGTGCAAAATGTTATGCTAGCTAACAATCGCAGTTAGTTAGCTAGATAGCAAGAGCTCAGTGTGAAATGCGCATCAGCGTGCCTTGTTTGCAAGTCACAACGCCTGCTATTTTGAAAAATGCTGACTAAATCCATGTTGTTCGCAGCTATAAATGTAGTTAGCTAGCTTCCAGTGCCCCTGGTTGTGTTGGTTGGTAGTTAGCTAATTTTAGTAGTTCAGTAGCTGGTTAGCCTAACTACACAACATTTACTACGACACACACATTGGGTCAGCAATAACTTAGTTATATAATACTTGGCATTACACCTTCCTTAGCTGATATGACACTTGACTGGTGTGTCGTATAGGGGATAGTGAAGGCCATGTTATGGGACCCTGCCTACTTATTTTGTCCAATCTTGTAGAATTACTAACCACTTAGTTTTCTTCTTCGATGAGGTTTAACGGCGGTTGGCATCGATAAAGGGTGCATTACTGCCACCTACTAGACTGGAGTATAACTCCCTTGTAAAAAATCAAATAAATAAATACATCAACAAATACCCTACCATCTAACTTTACACTCACTAAAAACCCACCACCCTACTCCACTATTCAAATATAGTCCTACCTCAGGCCAACATCCTGAAAGGACGGGACACCACCACACCCTGTAACTCTTCTGACGTCAAGTCTCGTACACCCAAATACCTCTCTACAGCTGCCACCACAACCTACATTTTCTGCGACTTACATTCCATCCCTGTAGTACAGTTGATAACCATTGCTATAAACGCTAAAAATCCAATCTTACTGAAGCATATATTACTTGTTGGCGTATCCCTCTGTACTGGTACAGATCTACTACTCACACCACTCCTCTCAGGATCCCTCCCCCTTGACCTATCTTCCTCTACTTTCTTCACAACTCTAACCCTGGAAACCTCAACCTGCCTCTCTCGCACTGGACATTTCTGATCCCCAGCCCCATGGGACCCCTACAATTAACACATACCACTACTTTCCCAGCTACACATTCCTTTGTCTCATGCCCTTCTGTACACTTCTCACACCTAACCTCCCTCCTACACACTGCTGCCACATGCCCATAAGCTTGACACCTGTAACAACGTAATGTATTCGGCACAAAAACTCGTACGGGATAACTTATATATCCTAACATCACTTCGTCGGGCAAGAGCTCAACATCAAAACTTAAAAGGACAATGTCTCTTCTGTTTCACCACACACGCCATCCTGTCTGCGTCGCACCAAACGAAGAGCATCACAAACACAGGGAATCTTCCCCTTCAGTTGGTTAACTTTCACATTTACCGCTACCCTAGTAATCACTCCTTTCAATGGCGCCCTTTTCTTGAGAGCAAAACAATTCACATCTTGTCCCCATTCGTTTAACGCGGAGCGCCTGCTCACTCTGACCAACAGAAACACTTATCACCAGACCACTTCTGGTTATCTTCACCGATTCCACAGCACCCAACTCTGGGGGCAAGGGCGCCGGAGAAGATGGCTGCCGTTTTACAGCCCTCTAACCAATTGTACTAGTATGTGTGTTTTTCTGCGTTATTTGTAATTTATTTGGTACATAATGTTTCTGCCATCGTCTCTTATAACCAAAAAGAGCTTCTGGATATCAGGACAGCGATTACTCACCTCGTATTGGACGAATACTTTTTCTTCAACGAGGCGGCCGCGAAGGATATCCTACAGACACCCGACAAGGCCCAAATCCCCGTCATTCGCATGAGGAAGAGACAGAGATATTGTGGACGTAGGTCGGGGTGCCTTGTAAGGATCCAACGGCGAGCGAGTAAACTGCCGCTCCCATCAATCCTATTAGACAATCTTCAATCATTGGAAAATAAATTGGATGACATAAGATTACGGTTATCCTACCAACGGGACATTAAAAACTGTAATATCTTATGTTTCACCGAGTCGTGGCTGAACGACAACATGGATAACATACAGCTAGCGGGCTATACGCTACATCGGCAGGATAGAATGGCTGACTCCGGTAAGACAAGGGGTGGCGGTCTGTGTATATTTGTAAACAACAGCTGGTGCACAAAATCAAATACTAAGGAAGTCTCAAGGTTTTGCTCGCCTGAGGTAAGTATCTTATGATAAGCTGTAGACCACACTATTTACCAAGAGAGTTTTCATCTATATTTTTCATAGCTGTCTATTTACCACCACAAACCAATGCTGGCATTAAGATTGCACTGAATGAGCTGTATAAGGCCATAAGTCAACAGGAAAACGCTCATCCAGAGGCAGCGCTCCTAGTGGCCGGGGACTTTAATGCAGGGAAACTTAAATCCGTTCTACCTAATTTCTACCAGCATGATAAATGTGCAAGCAGAGGAAAAAAAACTCTAGACCACCTTTACTCCACACACAGAGACGCATACAAAGCTCTCCCTCGCCCTCCATTTGGCAAATCTGACCATAACTCTATCCTCCTGATTCCTGCTTATAAGCAAAAACTAAAGCAGGAAACACCAGTGACTCTGTTAATAAAAAAGTGGTCAGATGACGCAGATGCTAAGCTACAGGACTGTTTTGCTAGCACAGACTGGAACATGTTCCGGGATTCTTCAGATAGCATTGAGAAGTACACCACATCAGTCACTGGCTTCATCAATAAGTGCATCGATGATGTCGTCCCCACAGTGACCGTACGTACATACCCCAACCAGAAGCCATGGATTACAGGAAACATCCGCACTGAGCTAAAGGGTAGAGCTGCCGCTTTCAAGGAGCGGGACTCTAACCCGGACGCTTATAAGAAATCCCGCTATGCCCTCTGACGAACCATCAAACAGGCAAAGAGTCAATACAGGACTAAGATTGAATCGTACTACACCGGCTCTGACGCTCGTCGGATGTGGCAGGGCTTGAAAACTATTACAGACTACAAAGGGAAGCACAGCCGCGAGCTTCCCAGTGACACAAGCCTACCAGACGAGCTAAACCACTTCTATGCTCGCTTCGAGGCAAGCAACACTGAAGCATGCATGAGAGCACCAGCTGTTCCAGATGACTATGTGATCACGCTCTCCGTAGCCGATATGAGTAAGACTTTTAAGCAGGTCAACATTCACAAGGCAGGGCCAGACGGATTACCAGGACGTGTACTCCGAGCATGTGCTGACCAACTGGCAAGTGTCTTCACTGATATTTTCAACATGTCCCTGACTGAGTCTGTAATACCAACATGTTTCAAGCAGACCACCATAGTCCCCGTGCCCAAGGACACTAAGATAACCTGCCTAAATGACTACCGACCCGTAGCACTGACGTCTGTAGCCATGAAGTGCTTTGAAAGGCTGGTCATGGCTCACATCAACACCATTATCCCAGAAACCCTAGACCCACTCCAATTTGCATACCGCTCCAACAGATCCACAGATGATGCAATCTCTATTGCACTCCACACTGCCCTTTCCCACCTGGACAAGAGGAGCTCCTACGTGAGAATGCTATTCATTGACTACAGCTCAGCATTCAACACCATAGTGCCCTCAAAGCTCATCACTAAGCTAAGGATCCTGGGACTAAACACCTCACTCTGCAACTGGATCCTGGACTTCCTGACGGGCCGCCCCCAGGTGGTAAGGGTAGGTAACAACACATCTGCCACACTGATCCTCAACACGGGGGCCCCTCAGGGGTGCGTGCTCAGTCCCCTCTTGTACTCCCTGTTCACCCATGACTGCATGGCCAGGCACGACTCCAACACCATCATTAAGTTTGCCGACGACACAACAGTGGTAGGCCTGATCACCCACAACGATGAGACAGCCTATAGGGAGGAGGTCAGAGACCTGGCCGTGTGGTGCCACGATAACAACCTCTCCCTCAACGTGACCAAGACAAAGGAGATGATTGTGGACTACAGGAAAAAAAAGAGGACTGAGCACGCCCCCATTCTCATCGACAGGGCTGTAGTGGAACAGGTTGAGAGCTTCAAGTTCCTTGGTGTCCACATCACCAACGAACTATCATGGTCCAAACACACCAAGACAGTCGTGAAGAGGGCACGACAAAGCCTATTCCCCCTCAGGAGACTGAAAAGATTCGGCATGGGTCCTCAGATCCTCAAAAAATTCTACAGCTGCACCATCGAGAGCATCCTGACTGGTTGCATCACCGCCTGGTATGGCAACTGCTTGGCCTCCGACCGCAAGGAACTACAGAGGGTAGTGCGTACGGCCCAGTATATCACTGGGGCCAAGCTTCCTGCCATCCAGGACCTCTATACCAGGCGGTGTCAGAGGAAGGCCCTCAAAATTGTCAAAGACTCCAGCCACCCTAGTCATAGACTGTTCTCTCTGCTACCGCACGGCAAGCGGTACCGGAGTGCCAAGTCTAGGTCCAAAAGACTTCTCAACAGCTTCTACCCCCATTCCATAAGACTCCTGAACAGCTAATCATGGCTACCCGGACTATTTGCACTGCCCCCCCACCCCATCTTTTTACGCTGCTGCTACTCTGTTAATGATTTATGCATAGTCACTTTAACTCTACCCACATGTACATATTACTTCAACTACCTCTACTAGCCGGTGCCCCCGCACATTGACTCTGCACCGGTACCCCCCTGTATATATAGCCTCCCTACTGTTATTTTATTTAACTTCTGCTTTTTTTTTCTGAACACTTTTTTGTTGTTTTATTTTACTTTTTTATGAAAAATAAATGCACTGTTGGTTAAGGGCTGTAAGTAAGCATTTCACTGTAATGTCTGCACCTGTTGTATTCGGCGCATGTGGCCAATACAATTTGATTTGATTTGATTTTTCACCCACCCTGAAACCACAAATGGATCAGCCAAAAGGCAAGGGTCCACTTTTTCCAAACATTTCACTCCTACCAGACTCATCTTTATCCTGACCCTCGGTGCAAGCCTCTGGCTCCGAGAACTTCACCACACCTACCCCCTCCGATACTTCGCCCTCACTCACTTCCATTTCTCCTCCTGTCTTCGATCCGGTGTTCAGCTCACTCTGCTTACACTTTCTACCATTCTTCTTTAACAAACAATCTCCCTTTTCCCTTCTATTTTTAACTGATTCAAGCTCACCCTCTTCCCCCCTCTCCCTCTTAGACCTCTTGCCTCTCTTTTCCCCTCCATTCCTCCTCTGTATTCCAAGTATACGTCTCCTTATGATAATACTGCACTTCTCCTGACATACATCTTGTTCTTGCCCTCTCAAGGGACGCCATTTTCCTTACGGTCTATCACTAACCACGTTTCCATCCACATTTTTTATGCCAGTAAAGTCATACCATATTTAAAAAATCACGACAGCCGTGATGGAAACAGGAAGTTTCGTTACAATTGTATAAATGCCGACAGATAATTTGTTTGTTCGACATGGTGGGATCTTTTTTTGCGAGAAATTGCGGTGGAAACTCCTTTATGCGCAAATAGTGATATAATAGCCATCATATTGAAGTAATCTTGGAGTGTGTGTGGTCCTCCCACTACGACTCGGGAAACCATGCAGTTTATTAGGCTACAGATGAAATAATTTATGAACTTCAGAGGGTGGTGAAAGTACCTGGTGATTATGATGCTCCTTTGCAATAAATATCGAGGGTCTTATTCTGGTGACATGATGGTCGACGCTTGACTGCTGTTTGACAAATAAAAATATTCTTGCTGTCATCCATAATAATCTCATCATGTAGACTAGCCTACCCAAGCACAGCCTACCCGCATAGCCACATGAAGTAGGGGTGCTGTGTGTGTATATGAATATAAGTAGTGCACTGGGCCTTTACTAGTCCTGTATTAGCGACCGATATCGCCGTTTGTAGAGCGGGCAATACATTTATTTTTTATTTTTGTAAAATGGCAGCCAAGCATCGATTATCCTTTGGCCTCTGCATGTCTCCGAAGGCTCCGCAATTGCGTCACACCCTCCATACGGAGCCTCCGTCCACATTTTTGGATCAAGCATAAATTGGCTTAGGGTAGGGATGTCCCAAGGATCCCGGATAGCACTGACCTTAAAACAAACAGGGCCAATTCCATAAAACGGAACAAAAGTGTTTCACTATCTATGGTATGCATCAAAAAGGATTTGGTGTCTGCCAGGTCAGTTTGTTTGTTCTTGAGACCAAATCTCTTGACTACTGAGCTGATCACAAGGCTGTCTGACTGAAAGTGAAACTGATGGCCATCTGGTCTCTCTGGGCTGGTCTATTTTAGGCCTCTATTTTGAAGTGTCCAGAGGCCTGGATTTGTAAAGGTCAGTGTAGTCTACTTTCTGGCATCAGACGCAGCATAAGACACACAGTATTTCCACTGTTGGAGGTGAAGAAGAGTCCATCCAACATGCATTTCACAGTGTCCTGCAAGGTCATGTGAGCCATGGACAATCAAGCATATGACTTTGAAATCAATGAAATAATTGGCTATATCAAATTACAACTAGATAGTTACATGGTGGTGGGTCTGACACATTTTTTATTGTGATTTGTTCTTCTAGATAAGAGTGAGGAGGTGGTAGAGTATCTTCTAGATAAGAGTGAAGAGGTGGTAGACTATGCCAAGAAACAGAGATGGTGGAACAAAATATTTGGCAAGAACTCTGGGCCAGTAGCAGAGAAGTATGATGTTGCCACGCAGCTTGCCATTGGTGGAGTGTCTGGCTGGTGAGTCAATCAGTCCTGATTGTGTAATATGAGTAAATAAACGGAAAAGCCATGTGAATCTGCTGCGGTGTTCTACAATTTAACCAGTTATATGACTTGGCAGGTCTCTGTTTGACAGCTGTTTTTCCTCTTAGGTGTGCTGGGTATTTGTTCCAGAAAGTTGGGAAGCTGGCGGCTTCAGCAGTGGGTGGAGGCTTCTTTTTGCTTCAGGTAGGGCGTGACTTCTAATGCTCTGCATCAGTTTATTTTGTTTTGTGTTTGAAAATCCATAGTTCTAAACAACACCTGGCCAACTTATTTACCTACATTTAACACATATTTGACACTCATGTTTCACATTAGGACACATGGAAGTGTGTTATGGCACAACCCCAGACACATTGCCATTATTGGCGGGTGTGATTCATTTCCTTCTAGATTGCCAATCACACAGGATACATCAAAGTGGACTGGAAGAGAGTGGAGCGGGATGTAAACAAGGCCAAGAAGCAGCTGAAGTTGAATACAGAAAAGCCCAGTAAGGAAGTCAGGACAAAAGTGGATGAGGTAAGGGGTCATCATGGTCTACTATAAAATGGTGGATGTTTCCTATCTGATTCATGTCTTATGATCTTTTTGGTGTTGTGATTCTATCGTTTCAAATATGATGTTGAAGCTATCCACACCTTTTTACTCCAGAGTATAAAAGAGAACAATGTCAAAGATATGGAAGCCCGTTCCTATGTATCGAATGGTAGCGGGATGAACAGGCTGTGGCTCGGGTGGTTGATATCCTTGATTATCTTTTTGGCCTTCCTGTGACATCTGGTGCTGTAGGTGTCCTGGAGGGCAGACAGTGTGCCCCCGGTGATGCGTTGGGCAGACCGCACCACCCTCTGGAGAGCCCTGCGGTTGCGGACAGTGCAGTTGCCGTACCAGGCGGCGATACAGCCCGACAGAATGCTCCCAATTGTGCATCTGTAAAAGTTTGTGAGGGTCTTAGGGGCCAAGCCAAATTTATTCAGCCTCCTGAGGTTGACGAGGCGCTGTTGTGCCTTCTTCACCACACTGTCTGTGTGGGTGGACCATTTCAGATTGTCTTTAAACGCTAAGGAACTTCTCCACTTCGGTCCCGTCGATGTGGATAGGGGCGTGCTCCCTCCTGTTTCCTGAAGTCCACGATCAGCTCCTTTGTTTTGTTGACGTTGAGTGAGAGGTTATTTTCCTGGCACCACTCTGCCAGGGCCCTCACCTCCTCCCTGTAGGCTGTCTTGTCATTGTTGGTAATCAAGCCTACTACTGTTGTGTCGTCTGCAAATTTGATGATTGAGTTGGAGGCGTGCTTGGCCACGCAGTCATGGGTGAACAGGGAGTACAGGAGGGGGCTGAGCACGCACCCTTGTGGGGCCCCAGTGTTGAGGATCAGCGAAGTGGAGATGTTGTTTCCTACCTTCACCACCTGGGGGCGGCCCGTCAGGAAGTCCAGGACCCAGTTGCACAGAGCGGGGTTCAGACCCAGGGCCGCGAGCTTAATGATGAGTTTGGAGCGTACTATGGTGTTGAATGCTGAGCTATAGTCTTGATACCATTTGAAAGGAAACACTTTGATGTTTTTGGAAATGTGAAATTAATGTAGGAGAATATAACACATTAGATCTGGTAAAATATATAATACAAACAAAAAAACATGCGTTTTCTTTTTTTTTTTGTTCCATCATGTTTTATGAAAAAATGTATGCCCTCACTAACTGTAAGTCGCTCTGGATAAGAGCGTCTGCTAAATGACTAAAATGTAAATGTGTATAATGGCACAATCATAACTTTAATAATGTTTTTTTTTTCCGGGCTTGGCCTCATAAGCTCATAAAGAACGGGCTTCCATACTATGAACAATGCTTATCAATACTCTGCACAACTTAACCATGCATTGGTGTTTTTTTATATATTTTTTTCAGGTGCAGACATTTGTGAAGAAGAATATTGTCCTCACAGGAGGTTTTGCTGGGGGATTTCTGCTGGGCTTGGCCTCCTAAGTCTACTAATTGAATCTGTCTTTATTTAATATTGTGTCAAATACAAGGCTGAAAAAAGCTTAAACCTAAGCAGCTATCTAGATATGCAAGTAGACTACATATCAATTATATCATATGTCAAACTGTAACTCATAGCCTTGATGTGTGTTTTTGGGCTTATGGGCATGTGTCCATTTGAAAACAGCCATTTAAAATACTATGTTTGTAGTTGAGGCTTATGCATGACCTGTGCACATTTGGTAGGAGCATTGTCTTACTAGTTAATTTATTATGACATTTTCCTATGCATTATTTTGGTATGGGACAGTACTTATTTGAGAGATGGTTTGAAATCCACCAAAATAGGTTTATCTGGATGCATATAAATGTATTCAGTCAGATGGAACTGGCGCAAAGCCCTTTTAACTTGTTTTCCCTAATGTGGGATTTGTTTTGTAATATCCTTCATTTTCTAAATTGTTAAGATCAAGGTTGTATGTGTGTTTATATGTTCCTTCAAACCAAAGGGTCTCAGTTACAAGCAGAAATACATGTATGAGTAAGTACTGTACAAGGGGACTAGGAGGCTGCAGTAATGGTAATACAGAATTTATATTTTCTTACCAAAAATTAATTGAAATTTCAAAGTGTAATTCAAGGACAATCATGGTGTGTGCATATTAACCATCCCCAACACTAGTGACTTATTTACCAGTGGATGAGGATGCGTGTCAAGTACTTACTTGAGACCAAGGAGTTAGAAAGCCAGACTGGACATCTGGCTTTATAAATCCCTGCTTGAGACTGAAATCTGAGTCATATTTGTTTTCAAGTACAGATTGTGTTGATTATAGTTGCACCATCAAAAGCTGCCGCACAGCATAAAAGATTCCAGTGTACTTACAAATGACTATGGACAATTTGGAAGATATCAATAGCCCTTTGTAGGGAACACATGTGATGAGGAAATGCACTAATATAAATTCAGGTTTGCTACAATTATTTATCCAATGTTTGTTATTCTCCTCAATGCAACCCTTACCCAAGTACTTAGCAAAGTGTAAAATGTGCAGTTCAAAAGCTTAATGGGTATTTTTTTCACTGTTTAAAATTCAATATTTTGTTACAAACAAAATGTAAAATTCTGGGAGAAGTAATAAAAAAGTGAACAGTCTTTTAGAATGATTTTGTTTGCCAGAGTTTCACTGATAATACAGCTACAGTCAGGGGCGTAACTTTGTTTTAGAAGTTGGAGGGACATAACTTGGTGGGGGGTCTGGGGGTCCTCCCATTTTTGGTGGCACCTAAAGCTAATTTCCTGCATTTCTACACAATCTAATATGACCCATGGCCCTTCTAGGCATCACTATTTAGAACAACATAAAGTAAGCAAAAATGCCAAGTCATCAAGCTAGGTAAGAGATCATTATTAATTATGTGTAAGTGATTGATAAGACTGAACTAGATCAATGATAATTAAATAATCAATATTGTGTTGCGCCTTTAACCAATAGCCTAACAAATGAACAAGTCTTACAAATAAAGTACAAAGACTTTTGATTGTCTTTATTAATTAAGACATACTCTACATCAAATTTCAACCAGACCTCCTAGCCAGCCCGAGCCGCCTGGACACCCGACCCCCACCAGTCTAGTCAATAACTCAACTCTCTCCCCAACACAACTTCCTTCCCATCTTTTGTTTTATGTCTCAAGGAAAGGTTTGGAAAACAAAAGTTGTATAAAAACACATACACCTACACATTAACACACAGAAACAGTACACCCTCCATATAATTCATATCATAGGCCTACTAGTATTGTAGAGCTCCTTTTACTTGCACACAATATAGCTGGATCGCCCCGTCCTGTCCCTAGGGGTCCACCGCCCTGCAGCGCCCCAACCCAACACACCCCACTCAACTTTAGGATCTTAGTGAAACATTCATTATTGGTTTCAGGTGTGTTAGGCCAAGGCCAGAGTGACAACCAACAGTACAGCAGACCCCCAGGGCCAGAACTGAGCAGCCCAGCAGCTAGGGATTGCCTAAATAGGTATCTCCCCTGACGTGGGCATGTTTTCAATACAGACTCCTTTTGTCGTACAGTATTCCATATAAGGCATCCAGACCTTATGAAAGTTGCACAGTATACCCTTAATTTTGTAATTAATCAAATCTAGTAATACATAACTTCACATGTATTCTATCCATTGTGGGAGGATAACAGGGAGAAGGGAGAATCTGTAGACATGCTGAGATAGAACATACTCTTTGCCAGAATTCAGCCAGCCTTCACAGGACCATAACATATGCAAATGTATCCCCTTTCGTGTTTTACACCTCCAGCAGAATAATTACATTTCTGTGTGCATGGTATTCAGTTTCACTGGTATATGGTACATTAAATGGATGGTCTTAAACTGCAGTAATTTATGTCTGAGACTATATGAACATGACTGGGCATTCTAACATATCTGTATCCATTCATCATCATCAATAGTGTCTCCCAGGTCTTCCTCACATTTTTGTTTGACATGTTTTGTGTCATAGGGAAAAGCCTCTATCAACCCTTGATACAGTTCGGAAATCAACTTGAGGTTTGTCAGACTGCCTTAAAATAGTTTCAATCTTTGAAGCTTCTTGCTTGTCCAGTGTTTGCTGTACAGAGAAAATAGTGTTGTATCACCTCCGCTCCATCACAGACCGGTCTTCCCTGGCTGCCTGACCCTGATGAGACCCCTGTCACCATCTGATCCTGCTCAGATGAGGCATGACAAAGAATTACATTTAACATTTATACATTATGTCTGCTAAATGGCATATTATTTATTATTATTATATTATACATGAATAGAATCAATGGTTCAACAATTGAAATGACCATTATTCCCAGATCCCAGACTGTAGCCTACCCATCAACTCAAGATGGAACTTTGTATCCATTCACTGATTGCTATAATACACTGCAAAATTCCCCTGAGCTCTGTAGACTGGTCTTCCCTGGCTGTCTGACCCTGCAGGGACACCTGTCACCATCTGATCCTGCTAAGACATGATGAGCATAGTGTCGTGTACTGACTGCACCATGACAGTGAAGCCTGTAGAGCTGTTTATACCGTGTCAGTGTATAAAGTAGGGAATAGCTAGGGAAACTGACTGATCAATAACGTTACATTGCTATACTGACTAATAACTCACATTGCGCTGAAAAAACAGAATATCAGTCTTCAATTGTTTGACCGGTGTTTCATCGTTTGATTCAGGTCTAGTGTGATTGAGGCAAAAATAATCGCTGAAGTTAGCTAACTTTGGCTAGCTCTGCTAGCTAATGGTACATCATCAAATGTACTTCTGTTGAAATGGGACAAAACAAAGGCTACAAAACATTTCCATACACACAACAGCTGTTAGATACAGCTACCTGACATAGCTATAGGCTAGCTAGAGCTGAACTGGCTGTGATAGCTACTAGTTTATTCACTTCCTTCGAGAGGGGATGAAACATTAGCTAACGTAAAATGTCAGTTACACTACTAGCTCAGCACTGGGAATAACATAATTTTTCAAAAATGCAATTTCAGAATGTGGGCGAGTGATGTCCCTCCCGTCCCCAGTAAAAGTTGCGCCCCTGGCTACAGTACTTGAACACTGGACTCCATTCCCCTAGGATCATTTACTGTCATTATAAACAACTTTATTACATTTGAAGCATTGTCATTATGTACAGTTTACAAATAAGACCGTTGTCCGGTGTCCACAATCAGGTCACAAATAAGACCGTTGTCCTGTGTCCACAATCAGGTCAGGATGCACCTGGGCGTTTAGGCTCTGAAGACTTCTGTTCCCTAGCGAACCCTGAGCAGCAGATGGAGTTCTCACCTGCGTGCTCACAGCACATACGCATAGCTCTTATCACATCCTCGCACCTGCTCTCTATGTACTTGTTTGCTGGAAGACAAAGACAGCGGGCTTGTAATACATGAAACCCAATCAGATATATCAAAAGTTATTCACGTTAGAAATCATTTAAATAGATAATGTTGTGGAAAAACCTCACCTTGTAAACACTTCTGAATTGCGCATGCTTGCTTCTGACAAGGATCTTTCTGTGGCATTTTACCACTATCAAGAAAACACAGACATGCAAATATACATATTTGATTACTTGGACAACCAGCATAAACTATTAACCACCTGTACATATTGCAATTATCCTACGATATTAAACTGTCATGATTCTACACCTGTTTGTTCTTCAAGAGCTCTACAAACGTCCCCGGAATCCCGGGTGTTTACCAAATGTCATCCGACTGGATTGGCTGCCCTATGGACTTTGCTGATTAAATTGCAGATAATTATAATTACATTATTTTGTAATGTCTATAAATGTATTTTCTGTTTGTGGATAACGTACGACTGTATAAAAAGTGTATGATTTTGTGGGCTAAGTGGTCAAATATAGCTAGGACCACATGGGGAGAATCTCGATTGCATTCTCCTCGCGTCCTCCCTCAAAATCCATTGGCTGAGAAATCCACAGGTCCCGCCCCTCTGATATTCTCCTCCAATGGGAAGGAGGCGAGGAGAGAGGCCGCGAAGAGAATATAATTGAGATTTACCCATGGACTAAATCCGCCGCCTTGCAACAACGGACTGTTATTGATGTAACACACGTTTTGATACGGAAGTAGCTAACTATCAAGCTAACTCTAGCTCGTGGAGTTTGATAAATAGCTAGCTAATCATTTATGTTTTTGTTTTTTTTAAACGAGGCAGTTATAGTTCTATAACATGGCAGTGAGCGCAGTTCACCTCGAATCAGATGCCTTTTTGGTTTGCATGAGTCATGCATTAAGTACCGAGAAGGAGGAAGTAATGGGACTCTGCATCGGAGAGGTAACGTTTGCTAGCTAGTTAACGTTAGCCTTTTAGCTAAATAACTTTATCAATCAATCAAAGTTTATTGGTCGCGTACACCGTTGAGCAGATGTTATAGTGGGTGCAGTGAAATGCTTGTTACTATCGCAATACAGATAGATAGATAGATAGATATATGGATGGCTACATGCATTCTAGTATGATTAATCAGGCTGTAACTCACACTTGGTATATACAATTAATTGTGTATATTCCTGCCTGATTAGTCAGACTACATGCATGCATCCCTTGTTGTTACATTCATATTCTCAGTTGGCATATGTCCCCAACTTCGTATAGTGAGTGACACATTTAATTGATTCTAACTAGCAACCCTGCTAAGTATTCTGCTTTCTCAGTCACCTGGTTTGTTTACACAGGTGGATAACAACCGCATCGTCCACATTCATTCTGTTATTATTCTCCGACGCTCAGACAAGAGGAAGGATCGCGTGGAAATCTCGCCTGAGCAGCTATCTTCAGCGGCTACCGAAGCTGAGATATCCTTTGTGCAACATGTCTCATTCATGAACTTAAATCTCTGTCTTCTGGTGGTGTCTTGCAGGATATCAACGTGACCGTCAGTGTCATGGATGTCACAAATGTCACTGTGACAGGTAGAGGTCTCATAGGATTCCTGAGGACACAGCCATTGTATCATTTTGCTAATCTATTTCCTTAGTAAGAGCTACAGGTTGGCTGAAATGACTGGACGGCCGATGCGTGTAGTTGGTTGGTACCACTCTCACCCCCACATCACTGTGTGGCCATCACATGTGGGTAAGAACCAGAGCACCCCTCTACCACATCAATTCCACAACTTTAGATTTCACTGTCATGGCAAACTGTTTCAGTCGGTGTCTGAGTCATTCATTTTCTACAACAGATGTAAGGACACAGGCCATGTACCAAATGATGGACCAGGGCTTTGTTGGGCTGATATTCTCCTGCTTCATTGAGGATAAGAACACAAAAGTAGGGTTTAAGTGATAGCAATTTAAAATATATAAAGTTATTTTGATATACAAAGGGGCATTGAATTAATTAAATGATTATTTTCTCTTAGACCGGTCGAGTTCTCTACACCTGCTTCCAGTCTGTGCAAGCCCAGAAAGGCTCTGAGTAAGTGTGCCCCTGTTTGGTAACCACTGTTTGCAGTAAAATTAATATCCTATCCAGATCTCAGTTAAACAAAATTAGGTGTTATCTCCCTCATGACTACTAATTAGAGGAAGATTCAATTGATTCAGTCCTTTTCAAAGCAGTTGTCCACAAAAAATAAGCCATTTAATAATATCGGCACAAATACTGAATTGCGTCCCTGATCTGTGTTGATAAAGGTACGAGAGAATCGAGATCCCAATTCATGTGGTTCCGCACGAGGCCATTGGGAAAGTGTGCCTTGAATCAGCAGTGGAGCTCCCAAGAATCCTCTGCCAGGAAGAGCAGGATACCTACAGAAAGATTCATAGGTATGTAGCCTCGGAAGCCCAGGGGTGCGTTGATTTTGGTTCAACGTTTGCTTCGTTGCATGACTGTTTGTACTGAATGATATGTTTCACCAAAACGTTACCTGGAAACCCAATGTTGAATTACATTGAATTCTATGTAGGGCAGAAATGAGCGTTTGAATCAGGAAAGTTTCTTCTCACGACCTCTACAAGCCAGAATGTTAAATACAATTATATTTTAATGTACTTAACCAAGTCCGTGCAGTTGGTCATTTTGGCGTTAGGAATGTGAGACAATATATCCACAGGAAAGTATAATTACATCAACTTTTCAACGCGCTGGTAGTGCATTCAGATTTCTATCACCTGAAGCATGTGCACAAGAAAATAAATACATGCACGAGACACATCCATATTTGCCGAGCTCGTGCACATGTTTACATGGTTCTTGTGCGCATGCTTCAGGTGATAGAAATCTGAACGCACTACCAGCGCTTTGAAAAGTTGATATCATTATACTTTACTGTGGATATGTCTCACATTCCTACCCCCAAAAGGACCAACCGCACGGACAACCGGTAAAGTACATTAAAATATAATTGTATTCAACATTCTGGCTAGTAGAGGTTGTGAGAGGAAAATGTACTCATTCAAACGCACATTTCTGACTGACGTAGAATTCAATGCAATTCATCGTCAGGTTTCCAGGAAACCCAAAACGGTGCACACCATTCTTCAACAGCCTTTAAGGTACATTTGGTGGTTGTGGTGAGCTGTGGCCTGATAAATATGGGTGTGACCATTTTCAAATGGCAAAACTCCTGCAGCACACCATACACAATTGCCCTCTGGGCCACCATAATCATGTCATTCATCAACTGATTGTTTAGTACAGTTCCATTCAATTATTTAACGTTCAACACTGTTCTGTCGTACTGAACGCACCCCAGGCTTCTAAAGTTTTGTTCGAAAGCCTGGGGAAGTTCTCCTCAGGAAGATGATAAAAAGGGGTGGAGTCTAGATGGAAACTAGTGATGCATTGAAGGTATTTGATTAAACTGGCCTGGGTTGCACCAGGCTATGGCCCGTCACATGACCGGGCGAAGCCAGTGAGGGAGGCGCTCCCTGGTACCTCTTTTTTGGAATGTGTTGAGCCCCCCTGCAACTGCCTCTGCCACACTGAACAACACATTTCCCCTTTGTCTACCATAATATACAAAATTGTCATGCTGCAAATGCAGGACTCAGGGCAGCTCATTGTGTATTGCTCATTGTTAATGGAGTAATTTTAAGTATTTCATTCCTTTGCAGCTTAACTCACCTGGATCCGATCACGAAGATACACAATGGCTCAGGTTGGTGTCATGTATTTGTTGACAACTGATATTTGATTGTATCAGCATGCACATTTTAATATCACAGACAGTGCAGCTGTCTTGACTGTGCTTTCTCCTCCTGACGTGTGTGTGTGTGTGTGTGTGTGTGTGTGTGTACGTTTCAGTGTTCACTAAGAACCTGTGCAGTCAGATGTCTGCTGTGAGTGGTCCCCTGCTGCAGTGGCTGGAGGACCGTTTGGAGCAGAACAGACAGAGCGTCATTGAGCTGCAGCTGGAGAAGGAGAGACTAACTCAGGAGCTGGCAACCATGTGAGGGAGAGGTAAGGAAAATACTAATGTTTCTGCAGTGCCATACACCTTCTCACACGAGGACAAATGACTAAGGGAATCTCATCATGGCTAACTGAACTGTGGACGTGAAATTTAAACCACCATCTACCTGAATCTTTCTCCATCTGAACAAAGTTTTCGCTCTGAACACTTGTCTTTGCCTCCCAATGCCACCACACACCTTAGGGGGTGTTTTCCTGTTAGGTCATGCTCTGTGTACTACTAAACGCTATACTGTATTTTCAAGAACATTGTCACTCCCAGACTAAAATGTAGTTTTTAAAATTCACTTTAGTTCCTTGGCACTGAGCATTTGATGCGTTTTTCATTTTCATCAACCTATATTTATGTTTTGAATGGAAGGTACAATGGACCTTGAGCATGAAAGGATGTCCCTATGTGAATTGACAATTTTTAAAATGTGACGTAGTATATCCAGGTATTTGCTTATTCAAGTATTTTATGTTTCATGCTTCTTTATTTGTGCTCTATAAGTCATCTCCTTGACACATATATCTGATTGCTTGTAGTTATGAATGTTTTCATGAGTTAGTTCATGGAAATGTATTGCTATTCCAAACCATTAACCTGATCAGCTCCTGCAGAGTTTGAGTTCTATGTGAGACTTTTGGTCAGAAAAGCTCAGAATATGTTGGTTCTCTTAGAATGGCAGTACGAGAGGCGGTTTGTAATTAAGTATTTCATATGAGGGAGGGGTGGTGGAGGAGTTGGGATATTACTCTGTTTGGTTAATACAGCATTTTTAGCTAAACGACGTCTACATGTCAATTTATGTCTGTATTTTGGTGGAATCATCTTAGCTTATTTAGCAGCCAATTGCTTAGTCATCATTGTGCCTTGTCATGCTTGTATGGGTTCTGTTTGAGGGATTAAACAGCCCCCCCCCCACCGAGTCGTACTTTTTTTTTCTTGATGACTCACTGTCTTAAATATTTGTGTCAGTTGATTGAAGCCATACCAGTTCCAAATCTAGGCTACACCACATTCATATGCAGCTCAAATTGGGTGAGCAGTCATTTAAATATGACTGGCTTCAGAGTCATATTTCAAACATCTACATACATTTAATTTTTAGTACAGGAATAGGTCTGCAATCTACCAACAGCACGTTTTGATGTTGATTGGTTAGAAAAATCCCACATTTTCAGATGGCCTGGTTTTGTGTGTACAATAGAAATGATGATTATTTTATTTTTTAGCTTTGAAAAAGATTGTCTTCTGACCTTCTCTGAGAGTTGCTATAGGAACAGCTCTGCCCATCTGCTGGAGTGGTTCAGTATTCTGAGTCATTGTGCTGCTGCATTCACATCAGGCAGAGAGAATGAGCAATTTCCTGAGAGACATATCTTCATTATGGACTTATTCAATGATACCTCACGATGCTGAAATAGCCTTTAGTGAGGTGAAAGAGTTGGTATGTGAAAGGAACTATAGGGGGCCCTGTTAGCAGTAATACCAACCCAAAATCAGTGACATAAGCACAAGGCATCATGTATGGCAGATGGTGTAGACGGTATAAATTTTTTGTTAAAATTAGATGTAATGTCTCTAGAGCTGACTTGAAATCTGGCAATCTAAATGCTTTGGCTGTCATCCTAATCACTATCACAACAATAATCATCCTCATTACAGCCTCAATCATTTTCAAATGTTCTATGTTATTCCTCTAGGTCGAGGCATTGTCCTCCAGCGATACAAGGCTTTCTGCATCTCAAAAATACAAACAAAGACAGCAGATGCATGCTAAAAAGGTACTGAGGCTGGACTGGCCAGATAACTGAAGTGAATATTATGTGCTGTATTCTCACTTGGTCTCGTGTAATCACATTTTCATCAACATCCCAACACACAGATGCTCTGGTTCTCTGCGTGTCATAGCATTGCTAATGTGTGATGGCATTCCCTGCATCGTTCACTGTGCATCCGAGACTCTCTAGTATAGGGATGGAGGGAAGGGAACCCATGATTCTCAGGAAACTGAGGTTGGGTGACAGGTTGATTATTAAAAACTGCTGACCCGGAACTGCGTCTGCACCAATGCTGCCTACTGTAATTCATGGTGACTTCTGCCTCAGCCCGGCCAAGGTTATATAGAACTGTGATATACTGTATTGTTTCAGAATAGATACATGGCTAAAGTCATCCTCCGTTAAACCTTTCAGATGACTTTTTAACGTGCCACAGAAGGGAATGCTGTTTCAGGTGTCATACGCTACCATTGCCACAAATGAAGCATAAAAAAAAGTGCACCAGGCTGTAATTTGTGGTAGATTTATTCAAATACTGTCATTGCAATTTAATCCAGAGGGGAACATCTATTTGCATTTCTTTCAGTGGGTGTATTCCAAGCAATAAATTCAATTTTATTGACCTCAGATGGTGAGGGTTGAATGCTTTTCAGATTGGATATTTTATTATAATAATAATAATTTAGTGGGTGCTTATTTGTTCTATTTCACACAAGTGTGTATTAATAGGCATTTGTGAATTAGGGAAATGTGTTTTTTGCATATCCCAACTCTCCCTAAGAAACCCTCGGAGAGGGGTCACGGCCAGGGTCAGCCATTATCAACGGCGACCCTGGCGCAATTAGGGTTAAGTGCCTTGCTCAAGGGCACGTCAACATATTTTTTGACTGATGACTCTCCAGTTTTCAAAGGTTTGTTTATCTTTTCTTATTATTTATTTTTTGTCTGCTATTGCTATGGAATCCTTGTGCGAGACCAGTGGCCATGACATCATCCCATTTACAGTAGACAGCATATCTTTCCATCCCCCAAGGACTCAAGCATAGAACAGTGGTTTGATGGAAAGGTCAAGATAAAGCTGAATTAATAATAACATGCATCAGCTGTAATTTGCTCTGTGGATGGAAATAACCACATTGTCATAGCCCATTGTTTGTGCTGGAAAAACTGGCCTTTCTCCCTAAGCACCCCCAATTCTTAAAAAAAAAGCCAGAGAAACTAGGGCTAAAAATCAGTAAAATATGCTACAATACAACAAATAAAAATGTCCATATGAAATAGAGGCATTGAAAACCAAACATACACCACTATTACTGACCTTTTTTCTTTTTTTTTTACCTTTATTTAACTAGGCAAGTCAGTTAAGAACACATTCTTATTTACAATGACGGCCTACACCGGCCAAACCCGGACGACGCTGTGCCAATTGTGCGCCGCCCTATGGGACTCCCAATCACGGCCGGTTGTGATACAGCCTGGAATCGAACCAGGGGTCTGTAGTGACGCCTCAAGCACTGATGCAGTTCCTTAGACCACTGCGCCACTCCGGAGCCCCTGTACACACAAATGGGTAATTTGCATAAACATCTTGTTTTTAGACTACTATGGTCCCTACTATGGAAATGATGTTGATGGTGTGGATGATGAACATAAGAGAACAGTACAGTACTCGATTTCAAACAATGGTATTTCCACAAGGGGGCAGTGCAAGCCTACTTACTGTGATGTTTACACATCAAGGGGTCTTTTCTGCTGCTTGCATGACATGCAGGCCTGAATTTTCATCACATAACTCAACACACCATTTAAAAACGCTGATTACTTTATCTTACTAGATCCTGTACGTTTAGCACATGTAGGTTGCATGTACTCTCAAATATTAGCTTTGCACATGAGAATAAAAGCGACAAAAGCACGGACTGGATCTGGTTAGTCCTATGGACTATTGGCACTCTTATTGTTAAGCCTCTCTGGTTGTGGAGGATGTGAAGATCTAGAGAAAGTGACACCACCGACATCATAGCAGTTCCCCTCCCATAATTTCTGTGTTTATTACTCCTGGCAGAAGGGCACTTTTTATTGAGTGTGAAGAGAGGAATGGAGTGAAAAACTGCAAGCCTCTATGAATCAGAGTGGAGGGAGGGCAGGGTAGGGAATGGGAGCTGCGGTGGAAGGCCAGCCCATGATGGGACACAACAGGGTTAGGGCTACAACAGGGAGTATCGGGAGGCTGGCACACAGGTGCATTTCTGGCTTCAGGGTCTTGATGAACAGTCACGTCCCAGATAGTGACAGTGCTTTATGATCTCTGAAATAGACAGGGGCCGATCAGACACTGTCCTCTGCTCGGCCGTACGCAAACGCACACATATACACACTGCTCCTAAAGCCCCTTAGTGAAAACCTGAAGCCACTGGAAGCATACATTAAATTAACTTTACCTGCCCCATGCAGACCCGGCGCCAGGATAAAGTGACTAAGGGGGAAGTTGAAATCGGCGTTATATTAAATTCGAATTATATTGAATTCTGCTTATATCACACTATACAACAATAAACATAAAGTTGAAATGCCGAGACTCAGATCAATGAGTCCTTTTGAAGTGACAGGTAGGCTACAGATTTCGCACCAATCTCCGATGCGCTGTATCAGCACAATGGACTGCGTCCTACACACGAAAGCAAGGCCGTGTTGGTAATGAATATAGTCTACAAGATAGATAGGGTAATTCACCTATTACAAACAGCCTATGTGAATGCAGCTGTCTTACCAAAATAATACAAACTAAATTAATGTGCAGCCCACACTGATGCAACCAATACAGTTTTTAAACTCCCACAGCCAGGGTCGCAAAATGCAACTAAATGGTCGCAGTCTGGAGACCTACCTTGTAGACTTTTCACTATAGGCATACTCTCTAACTTTCGTTTTACTTAAATGAAAAAGGCCTCCATCTTCACAATCAACAGTAGCCTAGGGCAAGGCTCCTCTCTCTCCTCAGCAGCAGGCCGGCTCCGGACAATTACAATTTTAATTATCGGCTTTTCATTTATTTTATATGCCAAATTACCGGCTAACGGAAACCCTGCGCCCCAGTGGCTTTCCATAGACCCCTTACACACACTTAGGCGTCCTCTGTCCATTGTGCTAACACAACGCAGTGGAGATACATATTTGAACTTTTTTGGTATTTTTATATAGGGACATAAAACTAAAACTGAGGGGCACAAGTTTCAACTGAAGGGGCGAAGACCAATGCTCCCTGTAAACTGAGCGCGTGCACGCGCGCACAGTAGCCCCAAGACTGCCTCGCAGCTCCCGGCAGAAATATCCCACAGAGAAAAGCACGAGATTGAACTTTCTAGAGCAGTGGTCACCAACCAACCGCCGCGATCGACTGGTAGATATCCAATGCATTCCTAGTCAATCGTCAAACATTTCTGTAAAAAACCCTACGATAAAGCCTTGTATTCCTATTTTTATTTTTATTTGTCTCGGACTGTTGTCAGTAGGTGCACCCGATTCAGCTGCCCTGCGCGCCGGGTAGGCGACTGTTGCCATGTTGAACCATTTCATGTGTCTGAAGGCACAAACTCTGCCTTCCCAGAGAGCGAATCAAGTGCACTATAAATCTATCGCTGGCCAATTGGATGGCTCAGATTACCATGTCTGCAGTAACGTAGCAGGCATAAACGAAAGCTACAGCAAAATTGATACTGTGAGATTTCAAAACGTTTAAAACCATGACTAGAGAGACTGTCGACCAATACAGCAAAGAGCTGCTGTTTTTATGAATGTTTAAGTTCTTACTCAGCATTGTCAACACTTTGCATTCAACACTTTTATAAGCCATAAATGGCTTTCTTCCTATTTTCACTCAGGGCTACAACAAGCACTGCAGCAGTAATGAATGATTAGGAAAGTAAGACATTACCCAACAGTGGGTCTGTGTTGTTATCGTCACCTCTAGGCTTTGTTGAAGGACGTCACTCACTAACGTCACTCTGCATGCTTTACACTGGCCTCCCTGTTCTTGAACCAAACGCTAAAATAAACATGCTACCAATGGCTGAATATAACAGGAGCATTTATGCTCTTGAACAACAAAGGAAAAATATAAATTCCCCCAACCCCATATTAATTCCAAATAATTTGGATACATAGATAATATACTACTGTTAACCCATGTTCTTTTTGTCATTGTT